CCCACCCTAATATTCCATGCTAAAGTACACATTTTTTATAGGAGGAGCAGTGGAAGTAAGAAATAATACAGAAAGAAAATTTGATAAATTATTAGGACTACAAAAAATAACAAGGACTAGATACAATCAAATACATGAACAAGTAATGATGCAAGAGTTGCCATCTATTGTTGGTTGAGTTAGAAGTGTCTCCTAGTACTTCCACCATTCTAAGTCTTCCAAGCATAGGGATCCAACGATTTTAGGCCCAACTAATCATTTCCTTGGGCCATAGGAATGAGGGCTGAGGGTGGTTCAAACACTACTTCACATGACTCTTTCAACAAGGAAATCCATTTTTGGATAAAACCACCCTCGACACATGAGCCCTCACCATTTACTTTTACTTCTTTTGGGTCTTACTTCTGTTTGTTGTGCTCCACTTTCAAATTAGCTAATAGTCTTTTAAAGAGACTTCACACTTAAAGGGTCATCCTTGCCTATTCAATCATGTTGTCAGGTTAATCAAACCAAGGCCACTCAAGTTGGTAGTGTATATTTGAAGATTTTCTTCTAAAGAAGGATCTGACAAGACATGCCAAGCAAGTGCACTCGGGTTTTGAGCTTGTAGTTTCATCTTCTTCTGAGTAGCATTATTGCCTAACTTGGGTTGCTTCCTCTTCGAAGACAACTCACCAACATCACCAATAGATTGATCCTTCTCCTTGCTTTGAGTTAGCTTCGATTAGAGAGGTGACATGCCGATTTGCAAGGTTTCTTCCCCCGTACGTTGTCTCTTCTCTTGCAGACTATCATCCTCTGAATCTTCATCCAAGCTTTCATCCTTCCTAATAATCTGTAGTTGCTTGTAGGATTCAATGTGCTTTCTATACTTCGGATACTTAAGGGGAGTTTTTTATTTGAATTCCACTCCCATCCAATCACTTGGAGTGTCTATTTTCCTCATCTCCATCCAACCTAGTTGCCTGCATTTCTTCTATGCATGTCCAACTAAACCGCAATATGAACAAATCTTAGTGAGATTTTCATAGGCAAATCTTATCCAAACATGATTGTTTCCTATACTTAAGAAGAAGCCCCTAAAGAGAGATTCTCAAGTCAACCTCAAGGTGGAGTAGGATCATTCATCCTCGTGAAAGTTTTCCCGGTTTGATTTCCTCGTTCTTAGAGAGGACTTTACCTGTTGCACTTGCAAAGGCCAGACAATATTGATTGAAGATAAAGCCTCTTGGAATATTGTGAAGTTGCACCCAAATTTTTTGTACCAGATCTTTACTTTTTCTCCATCCATCAATTTCTTCCACTCAGCTACTAGCTTCCCACTTGAATGGATGAACCAAGAACCACCCTTCAGGACCTTCATGTCATCCTTGTCTTCAAACATAAACTCTTAACCCCTGCTATCGTCATCGCCAACCTATACGCTGCCCAAGTATTCGCCATGAACGCTTTTACATTTTCAAGGGTGACTTGAATATGGGGAAAGATCCTGCAACGAATCGTCCTTTCAACTACATTTAAAGCTTCCTCTGTAGGATTTATAGAGATTTCAAAGTGATCTCCCACAATGTCTGCATATTGAGTCAGTTCTTCTCCCAACTCTGCTATACTCTTTTCTAGGTTGTTGTTTAAGGAAGCATTCAATTTCATGGATTAAGTTTCATAGCTGAAAGCTAGACCAAAGTAGAGGAGGAAAAATAGGATAGGGAAGACTAGAAAGCCATTGGCTCTTCACAACAACGGAGAGCGAAGAGCAAAGTTTAACAACAAACAGTGATGCCCGATTTCCATGCATATCCCGTATCTGTTTTTCAAATTTTAAACCTTGCTTATACATGTACATGGGACATTAGGAATGATCACATGTAGCCTTCCACCATTATAGAGTGGACGTATTTTCCCTTTCTATGAGCATATACACTATAGATATATGGGGTTGTTCCTACAAGAGAATACATGGACATCCTATTAAATATGAGATATCGTGAGGCAGGGTATCACTGCATCCCAAGAAACTATTATATGAAGGATTTAGTGGCATTATTCATTTGCCAAAATGGGGGATCTAACTTAACTAGGAATATGGGCCAAGAAACTATTATGTGAAGCCCATATGTTTTAGAAACCAGAAGATATAATTAGAACATACTTGAGAAGCTTTGAATAAGAGTTATTTACTCAATCCCCACTAAAAAATACTTCCAACTAGGACTTTGGTTTCTCAATTGAGGAGTGTGATTTGAAAATTTAATGAAGGTACCATTTTGAATAAATAAATAGAACAAGAGCTATACATGAATACACTAGTAAAACGTTGTAGATAAATATCTTTTACAAATAGTAAGAGGGCAAAACTTAAATAGTAGAGCTTCTTCTTAATTAAGCTGGACATGTAGATGGTGCATTTTATTATTAAACCAATTTGGACTCTGTCACAAATGCAATTAATATTTGCAACAACTAATTAATAAGTAAGCTTGTCTGATTTTAATGAAGAGAGGAATATATATATATATATATATATATATATATATATAAAGTTTGGACCATCAGCTTTGAAAGAACTTTCTAAAATAGTTCTTCATGAAGATAGTGAAGAGGGCCTTGTAGCCTGCCTCGGTGGGATGGAAACTATCCCAAAACAAGTACTTGGAGGCATCTTTACATGTAAAAGGGTTCAAAACATTGCACAGTATCGTTGTTTCTATCTTCCCCGTTCCACAACATCCTCTGGTTACCTCTTCAAACCCTGTAAAACAGAAACAACATCAAAGTGGGAATATATACAAATAATATTTGATTTCCAAAGTCTTGGGTTGCCAAATTCTAGAAACAATGTTAACTTCTCAAAAACATGCAGTGCACTTTGAAGATTTTGGATCTAAATTGGTCCTGTTTTTTGGAAATGATCTAAATTGGTCTTGAGTGCAGTCCATAAAAATAAATCTCAAGAATTCGGTAATGAAAATATATTGTGCATTCGTGTTTGAGGAATTTATTAGGAATGGCAACGGAGCGGGGTGGGATTGGGTTTTGCATGCCCTGTCCCAGACCCCGAACTCAAATGCCCCTCCTTGAACCCCACCGGGGCTAAGAAATCCCAACCCCATCCCCATCTCCATGGGGAATGGGGATCCCCATATTTGCCCCACCCACCCCAGTTACTTTGCATACATGCAAATTATATTTTTATTTTCTTTGAAACCTACCTAGAATTATATTGTATTATATAATATAATAATAGAATATAAAGGACAAATCTTGGAAGTATTTGGGACAAATTAACAAATAATTGGAGGGTTAATTTAGATATTTTAAAATTTTTAAAGGGTTAATTATCATATAAAAATATGAGTTTGAGGGCATCTGTGGCATTTAAAAGAGAATCTTAAAGTTTAAAAATGTGATCCCTACTTTATTGTTATAAACACCAGAAAAGGCAGAAGCCAAAGCTAATAAAGAATGGCATCTGATATAGAAAAGCCAAATGGAACACGCTAAACAGTTTTAATCGGGCAATTTGTATGATCTCATTAGGTCATACAAAATATCCTGCAAACAAACTTAATATTAATGCATGACTACGCATGATATAAATAGGGGTGGCAATAGACCAGTTTTGGATTGGACTCCGTTTAAATCAAAATCAATTTAGATGGATTGGACTGACCAATAACACATTGAATTGGATTGATTCAGACTCAATCGTCCAAAGCATTTCTTGGATTAGATTGGACCTGGTCCATCCTGAATGAATTTATATTGGATTGGGTCTAATTGAATCAATATCCGATCCATTAATGATAGAAGATAAAAATATAGGTGTCAATGGACTTGCTTTGAATTGGAAACAATCTAAATTAAAATCAATTTGATCAGGTAGGATGGTCTAGATAATGAATTGGACAGGTCCAAAATTAAATGATCCAGAGTATTCATCTAATTGGATTGGACATGATCCATCATTAATTGAACTCATTATACCGGATCCAAAATCTAGTCCGATTGACACCCCTAGATATCACTATGTGAGTTCATAATTTGATAATTACCATAATCTTGAGGCCTTTGAATGATGTCAAGTAAAGAAGAGTAGACATCAATATACACAAGGGTTGAATGTGATAGCTTGTTAGTGAGAGAGATTAATTCAGAAGATAGCTTAGCGTTGAACATCTCA